CCTCGCTTGAATTACTTTACGTTCGACCTCACTCGAATTACTTTACATTCGACCTCGCTCGAATTACGTTACGTTTAACCTCGCTCGAATTACGTTACATTTGACCTCGCTCGAAGTACTTTATATCCGACTCGCTCGAATTATTTGATTTTCAACCTCATCAAACCTCGATCTCGTTGGAGCTAATCAATACTCAGCCTCATGTCGGTCTATGTTCGACTCACCCAATATCAACTATATACAAACGACGAAAAATCAAGGACTTCTCCATATAGCAAAAAAAAAAAAAAAAGAGAACGGGAATACAGAAATACATAGCAAAAAGGCAATTGTTCCATTTCAATTATCGGATTACAATACTTCTTACAAAGGGCTCGAGGACGCCCTCACAAAAATAGCAAAGCAAAACTAAGTACAACAGCTTCACGCCACATCATCCCCTTCGGCATAATCATCATCATACTAGGGATCAGAGGCAAGCCTATCCACGGCGTCGTCATCCTCATCCCCGCAAGGTGTACCAGGGTCGTAACGACAAGCTTCACGGGCTGCATGTGCCTTGACACAGACGCCATCAAGCTCTGCTTCCGAAACTTTCCCAGCAGCCTTCAAAGACTTTTACACGTCAACTTGAGCCTCGGCATGGACACACATCTCATACAATTCCCGCGGCACACCGAGATCGACAGAAGTATGAGATATAGACGACTGTCCGCCGTCGTGTCTCCTCGGCCCTCAAGATAACGACTTGCTCATTTAACCCGAAAAGCTCCGCCTCTAAACCCTGGATCCATCCTTCCAACCTCGCTACCTTAAGCGCCGACATCTCCACCTTGTTAGCCCGCTCGGACCTGCAAACACGGAGGCGTCATCTAGGGCCGCTGCTTAAGCCATAGCAGCCATTCTGCCTTACTCGGCCTGACTCAATTTTTCGATCTCGGCACTCAGCTCACCCCTTAGATCGACGACCCTTGCCTCCATCTACCCGAGTTCAGCCGATAAAGACGTCACGTGCGTCTGAAGGTCAGCGTTCTCAGCCATCACCCCCTTACTCACCTCGAGCTCGTCCTCTTTGGCCTTTAGCGCCGCCTCAAGCTCGCTGCACCTACTGATGGCCCCTCATAAGCTCATCATCCCTCTCCCTTAGCTCTTCATCTTTCTTCGTCAGCTCATCGTTTTTCTATTTGAGCCCATCACAAAGCGATTGAAACTCGCCATCCTGGCTAAGGAAGTTGGCCAGCATGGTGCTTAGTACGGTACTCCTTGTACTTGGAGGTCATCTTCTTAAAAATGGCTGTCCTCCGCTCCTCCCGCTGGTCAAGCTCAATCCCCATGATAAGAGTCTGAAACAAAAAAAAAAGAAGAAGTCAGTGTAAGCATATTATGCATACGAAACAAACTTAACCTAACAGGGAAAACACTCACTCGCAAGGCCATGGCAGATATACCCAGCGACAGATCCGCATCTCTCATCGCCTGTAGCGTCATAATCTCGGAAGCCGCGCACAGGGGAGCAAAGTTCGGTACCGCCCGTTCTGCGTTGGCCAAGAGGTCGTAGCCAACGGGAATGACTATATGCCGATTATGACCCTCCGTCCTTATCTCCACACGAGTAGTCCTCTCCATAAAGGTCCGTATCTCCTCAGGGTTAATGTCCGAGCCAGAGTCGTCGTCCCCCGCAGGGACAACTCTATTTCCCCCGGCCGCCGATGATGAGCCACCTTTCGTGGCCCGTGTAAGCTCTCCGATACCACGAACCCCCTCAATCCCAGAGGGTCCCCTCTCTATGATGACACCCGCCGTAGAAACGGCCTCAACATCTGGCGGAAACATGGATTCCATTTCCAAAGCAACTAATCTTTCCGGCTCAGCGTCAGCGACAATGGCCTTCCTGGTCTCCACCCTTGGTCTTCTCCTCAACGATGTCTCCTCGCCATTAGATGGCTCATCCACGAGGTGAAAGATAGGCTTAGAAGAGATATCATCCCGCACGGCAACAGTTTGAGGGGCGGAGTCCCTCATTGGCGGAACTTGAGTCCGACCTCCTCAAGCAGATTCAGCTAAGGCAAATTGCATTCCAGCCGATGCGATAGCTTGGCGAATGCAGGCACTGGAGCCATCGTCTTTTTGGAAACTCGCCGACTTGGCACCAAAGGGAGATCGCATCAAAAAGCGATAGTGAACGGCAATAAGTTGAGGTAGGAATAACACTTACTTGACGGGGTCTTGGATCCAAAACGCTTGTGAAAGGATGCCCAATCGCGAATTCCCATGGTGTAGCGTAACATGCGAGCCACCCAATCTTCAATATCGAAGATGGGAGAAGGTGCGCGTCTCTCAACAGAAAACAAGGAAGTTGCAAGTGAATCGAAAATGAAAGAATAAAAGAAAATAACGAGCATACGGAAGATACTTACGATTATAGTTTCATTGCTCGGGAAACCTAGTCGGATTTGCCACTAGGTGCTCGGTCTTGATGAACAAGTACTTATGCCAGAACCTCCGGTTCGTCTTATCATCCATCCCGGCCACCAACTCTTTGATCCCAAGATGCCGCAGGTGTATCAATGTACCTCTATAAAATCTGGGCGAAAATAAATGCAGCAGGTGGCGAACGTTAACCTTACAACCGGTCAACTCTGCATACTTCACCAGCATCAGAAAAACTTTGTACAAATAAGGGGAAGTTGCGCCGGGCAGACATTGTAAAATTGGTAAAATTCCTTCGCTAATAGGGGAGAGAAAGAGAATAACCAATTAAGAACAGATAGATGTAGAAAGCACAATATTCGGGACGGTGAACCTATACGATGTCGCCCCGGCTGGAACAATTTTGACATGAGGAGGAATGTGATATTCAGACCGAAGGCCGGCTATTTCAGGCAGTCCCGTCTTAGAATGCTTCTGAGCAGGAGCGGGAGCGGGTTCCTTTGGGAAATCATGTCTGGCCAAGGGGTTCTTCGGGACCACCTCCTCCACGGTGGGGAAGCTTTCCTCCTCTTCAACCATGAATTCCTCACTGCCAGGAGGAAAGGCCACCGATAAAGGAGTGGCATCGGAAACTTCGTCGTGAATATGAGGGGATGTTGACATATTTTCGTAGTGAAACGAATGCAACAAAGTCTGAAGAAGAAGATATCAACTGGGTAAGAAGTCAGGGACTGGAATCGAAGAGGCTGCAAGAGATTGAAAGCGGAGATCGGAGGAGAAGATCAAAGAAGAACAATACACATACGAAATGAGAAATGGTGAAATTTTTTGAAAATGAAACCCCCCCATCTATTTATAGGGTTGGGTGTCACCAGAATCGAAGCAAAGGACCGTCAATGGCACCAAAACCGAAGCGATAGAAGCACAGACACTGCATTGAGAAGACGCGCAATGATGACACGCGTGGTCATGGCATCACCCCACGTTAGCCACGCCAACCGCAGCCCCGCTATTTTTTTTGACCTCGGCCGATACGATTCAATCAAAACGACCAAATTTCTTCTTAACAGTTGCAGAACGGATCTGCTCATTGAGGACGTACAAGATCACGACCTCAACAAGCGGAGGGACTAACTGTATTGTCTAAATTTGGGCAACTTGATAACTGCAAATAAACATGGTCGAGGACAGAGCCGATCACGACACAATGGCGAGGAGTCATCTTAAGAAGGATTATTGCCGAGGTCAAGTAAAGGAGGCAAGGAAGCAACAGGAGGATAGTTTAGTAATAGACATAAGGAATATTTCATTGGATATTCTTTATGCTGTACTTTTTAGGGTTTCTTGGGGATATCCCTTATAAATAGGAAGAGATAAAGAACAAAAAAGGGGATCTTCACGTTTTGAAAAGAGCACTTTTATAACGAGCTTGACTATAAGGAATATACAAAAAAGCTTGTCTTGTTCACTGATTCTATTGCTCAACACACGCTATTCACTCTTTGTTTACAAGATCCAAAGATTCCTTATCCATCCTCACTTTCTATTATCCCACGTTGCTGTCAAGAAGAAGAATCACCCAAGTCATCTAACATTTGGGGTGATAAATTCCTCTTTATTACATTTATTGCCATTATCTACATTTATTGCATGTTCTTACTATAACATTCATTGACAATCATTGAACACATACCCGATATTTATTATTCCCGAACAAGATCTCATCCCACGAATCTCTCTAAATCTTAGATCTAGAATTTATTATGTTTAATTAGGATTCACCTTCTATTTGCTCATTAATTAGTTTAACAAAAAGCTTAACACTTTTTGGTCAAACAATATACATATACAAAAGTTTCTGCCAAAGTTTACGGGGTCCAGTGACCCCTCAACAAAACATATAGGCCCGCCTCTACCGGTAGACTCTCGGCTCAAGGAACAGTGAATTCTAATAGAATTAGAAGATTGAATTAATTGTTTTCCTGGTGTGCGTTCAAAATAATCCAGATTGTAATGAACATGAAGGCAATTTGTGCAATATTAAACTGCTATTGATATGGCAGTCCCAATGAAGTTAAACAACAAAGACACTACTAGAATTGTGAATAGAAGATTAAGAAGAAGAGATGAGAGAACATGCAGAGATGAAGGCAACAATGGAGAGAAATTTTTCTGTGTATCATTTCTATGTATAAAGATGTATTTATACAAGCTACAGCATAATCGACTCACTAACCTCCTTAACAGCCCACTAACTGACTTAAGATAAATAGACTAATCTACCCTTGTCTAACTAACTAACTTCAAGTAATGCCCTTATTCTCAAAACCCCCCTCAAGCTAGGTGGTGTAAACACATCAAACACACCTAGCTTGGAACTTAAGTATTCATGTTGAACTTTGGTTAACCCTTTTGTTAACAGATCTGCCTGCTGCTCTCTTGTGCTGACGTACTCTGTTCTGACTAAGCCTTGTAGAATTTTTTCCCTTATAAAGTGACAATCTATGTCTATGTGTTTCGTACTTTCATAAAAGACTGGGTTGGCAACAATTTGTATTGCTGCCTTGTTATCACAGCAGATGTCCACATGTAGCTTCAATTCCAATTTCTTTGATCAGTCCAACTAGCCATACAAGCTCAGCAACAGTAGCTGCTAAACTTCTGTACTCAGCTTCTGCAGAGCTCCTGGAGACAGTTGTTTGCTTCTTTGACTTCCATGAGACCAAGGAGTCTCCTAGTTTGATCAAATATCCGGTTACAAATTTCCTGGAGTTCTGACAAGCAGCCCAGTCTGCATCACAATAGGCTTTTAAGGTTCCTTTACTACTGCTCGACAGTAGAAGTCCCTGTCCTGGATGATTATTAACATATCTAACAATCCTTGTAGCAGCTTCCATATGAGAGTTCTTAGGCTGCTGCATAAATTGACTCAGTGTTTGCACACTGAATGCTAGATCAGGTCTTGTCATGGTTAGATAGAGTAGTTTCCCTATCAACCTCTGATACACCCTTGGGTCTGGCAACAACTCATCTGGTTCACTGCTTGTTGTTCCAATGTGATCATCGTATTCCTTGGTATTAGTTTGGTATTTAGTTCCAAAGGTGTTGCTGCAGGTTTGGCTGCACCAAGTCCAAGTTCTGAGATAAGTTCCAGTGCATATTTTCTTTGATGCATAAGGATACCTTTCTTTGATCTTGCAAAATTTATGCCCAGAAAAATCTTCAACTCCCCTAGATCCTTCATCTTGAAAGCCTTCTGCAATGCTGCCTTGGTGTCTTCAATTAGCTTCAGTTGTGAACCAGTAATCAACATGTCATCTACATAAACCAGTACTACTGTTATGCCTTCTATGGTTCTTTTTACAAATAGAGAATAGTCATGCTGACTCTGAATGAAACCAAAGGTGCATAAAGCTTCAGTAAGCTTCTCATTCCACTGCCTGGGAGCCTGCTTAAGGCCATATAGGGATTTAATGAGCCTACATACTGGTTGTGACTCCCCCTGGCTCTTGAATCCTGGAGGCAGTTGCATGTAGATTTCATCAAAGAGGTCTCCCTGCAAAAAGGCATTGTACACATCCATCTGGTGAATGTGCCAATGTTGAGCAGCAGCTATTGACAGAATAGTCTTACTGTCACCATCTTCACCACTGGGGAAAAGGTTTCTTGATAATCAATGCCTTCTTTTTGGCTGTAGCCTTTGGCAACTAGTCTTGCCTTGAATCTTTCTAGTTCACTTGATGCCTTGTACTTCACTCTGGAAACCCACTTACAACCAGTAGGAGTCTTACCCTCTGGAAGTGATACAATATCCCAAGTATGATTACTTTCCAGTGCTTCAATCTTAGATTTCATAGCTTCCACCCACCTAGGATCTTGACAAGCTTTAGTAAATGTAGTAGGTTCAATTATGGTAGAGAAAGAAGCCAAGTATGACTGATACTTTGGGGTCAGTCTACCATATGACACATAATTTGCTATGGGGTAGGGTACTGAGGTATGCACATTTAGAGACACAAAATCTTTCATCCATATAGGTGGACATTTCTCTCTAGAAGATCTCCTAACCTCTGTTGTAGTGGGTGCCCCAGTGGATTGATCTGCTACAGTATTTGGATGAAAACTTTAATCTTGTGATTGCACTGTGTATGGTAATACAGCCTGCTGAATCTCCTCTGATCTTTCTTCCTGTTGAATTTCCCTTTGAGTCTCCTCAATGGCATCAGTAGTGAGCATATCATCAGTAGAGGGATGAGTACTAATGGAGGTTTGAGACATGGGAGCCATGGCCCCTGGTGCAGGAACAGGAATATAGGCTGATTCTGATTGTGAAGCAAAAATAGGAGATTGCTGAGATTTGGAATGTTGAAAGGGAAAGATATCTTCCCTGAATATAACATCCCTGTTGACAAAGAAAGTACTGTTAGCTAGATTTAAAAGAATGTACCCTTTTTGTGTGCTAGAATAGCCCATTAGTACTGCTGGTATTGCCCTACTCATAAACTTGTCCTTCTCCTANAATTTTTTTTCTGTAGATTTGCAGCCGATGATGTTTCAATCCAACTATGAGGTGTAGTGAATCCAAGGTCCCTGCTTTGCAGGGGGAACCTCCTTGGTTTTGCTACATTGCACATGATTAATACGGATATCACTGAGGCTTAAATTTTACTCATTTTTTTTGTTCTATACTTATTTAATGAATTGATTTGAGTTTAACTATACTCTTGCTCTTGAACATATAGTGGGGTTAGGGTCTGAAAAAACTCATAAAGTTTGTGCTGTTTATCAGCTTCTTCTCTTGAATAATAAACGAGATTGGGGTTAAATCACAGCACTACATATTTACTTGCTATACAATATTACTTTGAAATGTATTAATTTTTTTTCTTGAAATTTGCCAGTGCTATCTGCTATATAGGCACTACATGTTCAACTGCTCTACACGATTAGTTTTATATGTATTAAATTTTTCAGCACAATCAACTATATAGGTGCTTGCATTGAGTTTATCTTACTATATATGAGCACCTTGCCTATTGATGGTAGTGAGTGTAAATGAAAACTCATAAAATGGGTGCAGTCCATCACCTCCTATCTTGAATATTTCACTGAGATTGGAGTTAAATATCAGCACTACATATTAGTAATATATTAGATAACTTGATCTTACATTTCTGCAACTTTACAAGGACCTTCAACTCTAGTGAAAATTCATTGCTGACGCCGGTAGTTAAATGAACAACTACAAACTTTAATGACGCTGGTGTTAAATGAATAACTACAATCTTTTAAGGCAATTATGTATCTAATTGATTTAGAGTGAAGCTGTGTAACCAATTTCTATTAGTAGTGTCACCTACTTGCTGTTTGAACTGAACGCTTCCAGGAATTTTATAATATTAAGTTTTTTGCAAGAACGACCTTTCTTATTAGGTAATGATTATTTGCAAAATAATAATCACAATAGAGATTATAAAACATTCTTTTGCATGAACTTCGACATTATAATGTAATCGCAGGTATAATTGTAATTATAATACCAACTAAAAACCTTTACACTTGTATGGTTGTTGCTGTTGTGCCAAACAAAAATATAAATGAAAAGCTTCATATGTAAATGCATAAAGACTTGGCATTATTCATTCTTTGAAATAAAAGGCGAAATATGTGGATGGCCTCTTTAAGTTATTCTTAATGATTAGGTAGACAACTTAATTGAGTCTATTTTCAATTACTGGCAATTAAAGCCTTTAATAATTTAGATCATTAAGCACCCGATCTCATTTGCCCACCTCGGGTGATACACACTAATAGACAATTTTATGAGCCAATTACTATTTGATACGTGTCTAAACTCTAAACTTCAAAAACAAAAGAAAAACTAATAAACCATTACTCCTCTCTAATCGTCACATTGTCCTTTAAGCCACCACCTCAATCTTTATTCCTTCACAATACAGCCCGAAAGAAAGACACTAATCCACTTCACAACCTCAATCTTTATTCCTTCACAATACAGCCCGAAAGAAAGACACTAATCCACTTCACAACCTCAATCTTTATTCCTTCACAATACAGCCCGAAAGAAAGACACTAATCCACTTCACATCTGTCTTCAAGATTTAATCATATTTCAAACCATCACCACCAACACAACGATAGGGAAGATAGAGTGTATATAAATCTTGCACCTACTCCAGAATGGGCAGAGAGACTTCAAGCCCCCTCCATTAAATCGAAACCATCCGTTGCTCTTTGGAAAAGTACGATAATGATGGAAAAGGAGAGGGATAATTTTTGTTTTTGTCTTCTTTTTTAACGGGCGTCTTAGGGAGTGTATCTCGCGGTAGGACTGACAAGGTCGGATGCTTAGTTGACCTATATTACTATAGGCTTGAAGTGGGAGGTTACTATCTGGTTGTTGGGAATAACTTGAATGTATCGTTTATATATTTTGCCATATAAGAAGTATTAAACAGTGAAACCAAACCTTTTTTTCTGACTTCGTTGTACTAGGCCACCTTTATAAGATTTAGTCGAATTAATAAATAATGAGGTAATAAAATATTTGTGCGAAATTTGTTTGACATTACTGAATTATTATAGGCTTGTGAATGTTTTGTTACAGTTAGGCTAAAGGTACACAACAGAACTAGCATTTCATACTTTGGAATATTCCATTTACAAAGGCTAGAACAAATGCTCACAAAAATATGTACACAAAGTCAATAAACAAAAAGAAGGAAAAACAACTAATCGCCGTCTAACTCAGCAGCGCCATCCGCCTCTCCGCCATTGCAATCTGGATACTCATCCTCATACCAGGCGTCCTCTTCAATTCGATCCATGCCTGCGTCCTCCTCATCATCACTGACCTTTGGCGTAGCGAGGTCATAGCCACAAGCAATACGAGCTGTACGTGCCTTAGCACGAGCGTCCTCGAAGTCATCCTCAGAAACTTTCCTCGCCCCCATCAGATCTCTAAATATATCCAGTTGGGCCTCGGCGTTGATCCATTTCTCATACAGATCCCGCAGAACATCAGGAAAAGCAGAAGTGCGAGAAGAAGACAGTTGAGCCAACAATTGGGCCTTCTCGACTCCGAGAGCAGCAACTCCATCATTAAGGCCTGGAGTCTCTTTTTCCAGCTCCCCTATTCGCTCATCAAGCCGCTCCTCTCTAAGCCTGGCCATCTCCAGATCACTCTCCCACTCAGAACAAAGAACGCGGATTACGGCCTCCAAAGCCTCATCTTTCCTCGAAGCCCTCAACCGAGTCAATTTTGCCTTCTCCTACTCTGCTGCTTTCTCAGCGACCTCGCCACCTAGAGTGTCCACTTTGACTTGACACTCCTCGAGCTCGGCGCGCAACGATGCCACTTGGACTTGAAGGTCGGCACATTGGACCTCGACCCCTTTTCTCACCTCAAGCTCCTCTTCTTTATCCCTTAATGCTCTCTCGAGGACGCTGCATTTTCCGATGACTCTCACCAACTCGTCATTCTTCTCCTTCAGTTCAGCTCGGAGAACCTGGAAATTGCCGCTCTCACCAAACCGCCTGCAATCTCGCGGTGCTTGTTACGGTAGTCGCGATACTTCCGCTCCATCTTTTGAAAAATAGCATTGCACCTCGCCTCCCGCCGGGAACTCTCAATCTCCAAAACCACAGTCTTAAATAAGAGAAGAAGAGAAAACAGAAAATGAGAACGAATCAGAAAGCGTTGAACTTGAAAAATGGTCAAGAAACTTATCCGGAGTATGAGGCCGGCTATACTCCTTGACAAGGCAACGTCATTCAATTTCTCAAGAGTTTTACCCTCCACATCGGAACAAGGGGGCCCAGGGAAGGGACTATGTTCTTCGTGTTCACTAGCAAGTCTCGATCCATGGGGATCGCTATGGTTCGCGTGGACCCCTCCAATCTCACATCAACACGGGAAAACCCCTCCCTCAACATTCTCACCTCGTCC